AAAAAAGAAAGAAAAAAAAAAGAGTCATATGCTCTACTGACTGAGGCAGCCAGATGCCCTTATTTTTGTTACTTTATACGGTAAAAATACTGAGCATTTCTAGTATCATTTAAAAAATATGAATAGGTACTTATAATATGAAATAAATGCTACGAATTAGACATGGTTTAATGAAAGCATATAACAAAGAAAGCTGACCTAGACTAGCAGATAATGATAGGCTCCCTAGAGGAATCTGACACGCATCTGAAAGATGAGTAAACATTAACTAGGCAAAGAGGGTCAGGGAAAAATATTCCAGGGAATAAAATATGCAAAAGCTTTGTGGTGGGAGGAAAAGAGAGATCTAAGGAAATGAAAGAAAGCCAATGTATTTGAAAGTATAGAAAACAAGGGTAATGGTACAAAATTGTGCTAGAGGACTAGGACATGCATGATTTTGATCTTTATCTAACAGCAACGGAAAATGTTTAAAGAGTTATAAATAGGGAGACATAACATGATCAGATTACTTTTTTGAAAAAAATATTACTCTGGCTGGAGTGGGAAAAATGGACTAGGAATCCACTGGCACCTGGCAATGATCCTAAAAAATAACTCTTTTATAGGGAATGCTTTCATATATCTATGTATCTATATATAGATATATATATAGATATATGTATATATAAAGTTCTTACCATCTGCTTTTGGTAGTCTCAGATTTGAAGACAAAGCTTCTTTCCTAAAATCTGCAAATTTAGAGGGAGAGAGATTATGCCATAAGGAACAGCATCCTGATTTTATCCAGTTTGAAAAAAAGCCAATAGATAGATTAAATACTTCATTTCTCATTGACCATTCCCTTCTTCTCAAAATCTTCCACTGGCTTCCAGAATATTATTCTCTACTCATCTTCCTCTTACTTCTTAGACTCCGTGGATTTGTCAACCTCCACCAAGCTCCTCAAATGTGACTGAGATTCTAATGTCACAAATGTTTCCTTTCTCCCTAAGAGGGCAGGTTAATCCCCAGGCCCATATATTCAGTAAAATATTTAATTATTAGTCTGAATTGTCCTTCTCTGGTTCTGCTTGCCTACCTATCTATCTAATCCTGGAGCTTTTCCTTGGGACAAGTTGCAGTTATACCCTTCATCGTATACACTTTCTACAAAAATGCAAATTGCTACAGAGATCTATTTGAGAGACAAGTGATAGAAATAAAATATGTCCATTTGCATAGATGGACCATATTACAGTTAGAGAGCAGTTTAGAATAACTCACAACTAGTCCAGGTATTACCTTAAAACAAAAGGAGGTTAGAATAAAAATACATTATATTCACCTTAATTTTTTTTTACTTGTTCTAAGCAGGATTAAACAACAACAACAACTAACCTATTAAAAAGTACTTTCAAAATAGTATGTTTGGCAATTTTATAAGATAATTCTAAAACAGGATTTCTCAACCTCAGCAAAATTACATTTGGGTCCAGATAATTGTTTGGGGGGATACTGTCCCATACATTATAGGATGGTTAGCAGCATCCCTTGCTTCTACTCACTAGATGCCAGCAGCCCTCACCTATCAGTTTTGACAATCTAAACTGTCTTCACACATTGCCAATTGTTCCCTGAGAGGCAGATCTGATTTTATTTTTTTACCTGAAGCTAAATTTAAGGCAAGAAATGGCTTTCTAAATAAGGATATATCCCAGCTGAGAATATAGATAGGTCAGGTAAATTCTTTGTAAATAGATCAAAAAGCAGCTCAACACTTATATATGAGTGTTATATAGACAAATGTTTTAATTGTTCCAACAATAACTTGCGCTTTTCAAAGGGCCTTTCACCTAAAAAAAAAAAAAGCTAGAAAACTATTAAGACCTCTCTAAAATTCATAAAAGGAAAGGGATTAACTTTGAAATGAAATTACTCTAAAAAGAAACATTTCAAAGCCATACGACAACATATATAAATACTTTGAGACCAACTTTACAATCCAGTCCAAGAGATCATCCAGGAATTTGATACTGTAATTACTAAATGGATATATCTGTGGATATAGAATATAAGGTATATCCCTAAATTTGGTCTGTACTAAATCCCATTTCAATACATTTATGCTATTATTTAGGAACTAAATATTACAATATTAACTAAATATTAGGAACTAAGTATTAAGATTTAATTAGTATTTGGTAAAATATTTAAAAATCCTTGGATAACATTTTAGAAGAAATTTTTATTACAAGTCACTCAATTAACTCACCCTCAACAAAGGAATCATCCAGTATTTCTTGAAGACTATCATCAGTGAAATAAATTCTATTGGTGTTTCCAAGTACATCTGCATATTTGTCCTTATCAGATTGATCACTTTCTTCCATAGAGTCCAATGAATTGATGATGTCATTCAATGCTACAAACAGAGAGAATATATATACAACATGTACTTCAGTCCATGGATCCAAACCTTTGGAACATAACAATAAAACTGATGGACTCTTCCAGATTTGCACTGTCCTAAATGGCAGCCACTAACCACATGTGGCCATTTAAGTAAGTAGAGCAATCCATTCTCCACTATAGTTTTCTATAACCCCTTATCTTTATTCTTAAAATTATTTTCTTAAAATTCTGGGTTCTGGGTGGGCTATTCCTATATGAACAAAAAAGTAGCCAAAGTTTCTCTAGTTATCTATTAATGAGCTCACCATTTCAGTAAAAAATACCCTCATTCTTCATAACTGCTCTCAAACCCCAATCCTTCCCTTTCCACTTTCTTTCCCTACACCCCTTGCTCCTGTCACCTCATTTACACAATTTAGAGAATCAGCAAAGGTTATTATGTTTAGCACAATAACATCAAACATCTAGAAGAGGAAATCCACAACTGACCTCCCGGAATGGCTCAGTCAGTTGGGCATCTGACTTTTGATTTCGGCTCAGGTCATGATCTCAGGGTCTTGGGACAGAGCCCCACACTGGGCTCCACACCCAGAATGCAGTCTGCTTGGGATTCTCTCTCCCTCTCCTCCTCCCCCCACTGGCTCCCTCTCTCTCTCTCTCTCAAATAAATAAATGAATAAATAAAAATTTTTTAAAAACCCTTCACATTTCTAAAGTATATATCTAAAAAATCATCTCTCAGGATTCATTAAGAGAAATGTATAATAAGTTACTTTAAAATTAGCTAGTTTATGTAGAAGCATAATTTAACTCATTATGCTGTTCCATGATTTAGTCATTAGTCATTGGTAAGAAGTTTCAAAAACAGGCCATGTGAGGAAGGGCTGAAGGGAAGTGTGAGTCTAGAGAAAAGATGATTCAATGTGAAAGAAAAAAAATGAGTTCATCTCACATCTCTGGAGGGCTACTGATAGGAGGAAGAGTCCAAATGTTAAATATGGTTTGGGAATGGAATTATAAGGCAGGATTTCCACCAAATATGTAGAATAATTGACCAGTTCTGCAGCTGTCCAAAATTATGGAATGGGCTGCTTCAAAAAGTCATAAGGATTTCTAAGACAAATAGTAGGATGAATGTGAATTACCATTAGCCTGTCCCTGAAAGCCACTAATGTGACTTTTATTTTTTATTTTTTATTTTTTTAAAGATTTTATTTATTTTTTAGAGAGCGAGCGAGAGAGAAACAGCATGAGAGGGGAGAGGGTCAGAGTTGAACAGGCTCCCCGCTGAGCCGGGAGCCCGATGTGGGACTCGATCCCAGGACTCTGGGATCATGACCTGAGCCGAAGGCAGACGCTTAACCATCTGAGCCACCCAGGCGCCCCTAATGTGGCTTTTAAATAAACATATAATAATTGAAGAAACTCCATATCTAATGAGCATGAAACTATCAAATCCTCTACTATAGACCTCATTCTCTGACCACAAAAAACATAACTAAAAGTAAACAACAAAGATAGAGCAATAAGGAAATTCAAACTGCTTTAAAAATTTTTAAAAATTGCTTTAAATTTTAAAGTTTTCTCTTAAACAACTCTTACATCAAGGAGAAAATCAAAATATGACTGAAAATACTTAGAAAATAACAACAATGATAAACAAAGACCATTAGATAAATCAAAGTTTTACTAAAATGAAAATGATAAACATTTAATGTCCAGTAAGAAAAAAAAGTAAATTAATAATTTAAACAACTTAGAAAAACTATAAAATGGGCAAAAGAGAACAATAGAAAGGATTTCATAAAGGCAAAAGCAGAAATTAATTTTTTAACTATAAACAGAAACACTAAAGATAAATTAAGAGGTAGTGCTTTAAAAAGAGAGATAATTAAAATGATTTGTTAGTAAACATAGAAAAAGGTAAGGTGTACATATGTGCAAATTCAAGAATGAGAAAAAACCAGATACAAAAAAATCAAAAGAATTATCCGGGCTGTATTAATATTCCAATAAAACACCTGAATAAAATAAATTTCCTAGGAGAATAAAAACTACCAACACTGACAAAATAAGACAGAAAATGGCAAAAATCAATCCACCAAAATCAAAGATGAATTATAAACTAGAAAAAAACTACGATGGGACAGAACATTAATGTGCCTAATATATAAAGAGCTCTTTACAAATTCATATGAAAAAGACAATCTAATTAAAATATAATCAAAGCACACTTGACAATCATGAAAAATATGTTTTACCTCACTAGTCATTAAAGAAGTATGTATTAAAACAATAACAGAATTTTTTTACCAGAATTTTCAATAGCTAATACCCATTATTGATAAAAGTGAATTTTTACACCCCTTTGGGAGGATAATTAAGCAGTAGCTGTTAACATCTTGTATCTGCATATATTTTGGTCTAGCACTGTGACTTCTGGGGAATTTATCCTCCAGGAAAACTTTGTGCACATATACACATATAAGGATGCTCATCAAAATGTTTGAATGGCTAAGAATTGGCAATAACCTAAATACTATCAAAAGTGTTGTGGATAAAATTATAGTACATCCCCACAATGGAATATTATGCAGTCTTTAAAAAGAATGAGGTAGTTTATATGATATAATGGAACATGAAACAATATCTAAGATACACTGTTAATTTCTTTAAAAAAGCAAGTTGTGGAATATTATGGACATAGTAATTTAATTTTTAAGTAATAATTTAAGAATACACAAATATTCATAGATGCCAATAAAAAAGCCTAAAAGGATACTTACCAAATATTAACAGGGATATTTCCAGAGGGTGACATTACAAGAGCCTTATGCTTTATATTTCTTACATTTCTGGCCACTATGTTTTTTTTATAACAGTTTAAAAACTGCTATTATTATGTAATAAAGTTTTCTTATTTAGCTATTGGAAAACATTACAACCTCATGATTTTCCCAATCGTTTCCATTGAAGTAAAAATTCCTTTTTTTTTTAAGATTTTATTTATTTATTTATTTATTTATTTATTGAGAGAGAGAGTGCGTGCATGTGTGTGTGTGCTCAATCCCACGTGGGGCTCAATCCCATGACCCTGAGATCATGACCTGAGCTGAAATCAAGGGTTGCACGCTTAACAGACTGAGCGCCCCTCAAGTAAAAATACTTAAATGAAAAAAACTGTAGTAAAGTTTGCCGTAAGTGGAAATGTTCAAATATAAATGAAAAAACATTTGGCACAAATACTACTACAAAGAAGATTTAAGCACCAAATATGGTATTTGACTAGGTGACCTCTGAACGAGTCCTGTGCTGTGGCCGGCCACTCAACAGTTTTACCATAACGCTCTTACCAAGAAAATTGGAAAATTTCTGGTTGTCCTTCAAAGCCTTCATACAGTCTTTAACATTCACCATGTTGTCGTCTGGAAGAAAGAGAGAGAGAGGTGATAGACAAGAATCCCTGGATAAAATAATATTAAAAAGCTAGTATGAAAATCAAAATCAGCATACAATTTCTTAAACACTTTATATACAAGATACTTTGGATTCATTTTCACCCATTATGCTTTGCAATGAACCTTACAAGATTGTAGATATACTATTTCTGATTCTACCTTTAAGGGAACTAAAATACCGAGAAAGTTAGAAGTTCAATAACTTCACTTGGCGCAAAGTGGCAAAGCTAGGTTTTCTAGTCACAGAACCGGAATTTCCAAACTATTCATTAGTCACTAAATCAAGACATATCTGAGGAAGTGGATACCAACAAGCCCAACCCCCACAAAATTTCGAACTGCTTCTTAAAAAAGTATTCTCATAACTGCAAAAGAGGAATGTAAAAGAAGAAAGGCTCCTTTTTAGATGTTTACAGTAATACAAGCAAATACCTATATTTATTTGCTCAACAAAGGAACCCCATTTACTTAAACAAAGACCTTGCCTACTTTCTTTATAGGGTCTCCTACCCAAAACAAAACAAAGAAAACCTGCTAGTAATATTTAAATGCTTACCAGAAACAAAATCTGATTGAAGAATTTTCTCTCTCTCTTCTTCAGGTGACTTAATCCCAATATTTCTTAGAAAGCTCTCCAAGTTCTTCCCAGGTATCATGTCACCTTCAAGCACATCAAGAGCTAAGACAATGTCCTGTAACTCTAGAAATAGAAGAAAGTTATTTGGTAATTGAACTAACCTCTGATTTATCTTTTATTTTATTTTTTTGTTGTTGTTAAAGGAATGAACTATTTCTTTTTTCAAAGATTTTTATTTATTTATTTGGGAGAGAGGAAGCACGAGCAGGGGCAGTATGAGAGGGAGAAGCAGACTCCCTGCCAAGCAGGGAGCCCAGTGCGGAGCTCGATCCCAGGACCCCAAGATCACAACCCAAGCCAAAGGCAGACGCTTAACTGACTGAGCAACCCAGGTGCCCCCTAACCTCTGATTTAAAAAACAACAGTAGCCATCACTAAAGACTTTTGTCAGAGACAGTCCGAGATTTATTATCACATCCTGAACTGAAGAATAAGAAATCTCAGTGAAGAACCCAGGCCTCAGGGAATTCTAAGTCCAGCAACACAATATGCTTGGTCTGTCATGTTTCTTTGGTGCTAATATAAAATTGGCACAACCAAAATGATTCATATAGCTGAATTTTTCACTGCAATTACACAAAGTAGTTATTTTACCATGAAGCTCTAATGGTAGTCAACAAAATTAACTCACCCTGATTGAAGTGAAATGAATTTCAGAATCATGAGAAATGTAAAATATGAAACACAAGTATTACAAAGACTCATTAGCCTTTTTTTTTTTTTTTTCCAATTCTACCACAATCCACTAGTACCCTGGCATCTGGAATTTTCCTTCATTTTCAGCCCTTTCAAAGGAGGCAGTGTTAAGTCAGATAGACTTGCATTCATATCCTGGCTCCAGGATTTGTCACCTGGAACTATGTGACCTTGAGCAAATTATTACTACTTAACCCCTCTATAAAATTCCGTAGTCTTATATCTGAAATGAGATAATAATACTATCTACCTCACAAGGTTGATGTGGAGATTAAATATGATGAGGTATGAAAAACACTTAAAACAATACTAGATACATGGCAAGCACTTAATAAATATGTCATATTAGTAGTAATAAAGTCACTACTACTACTATGATTATTACTAAAGCCATCAGGAACTAGCTATAAATAGTAATCACAGCTCCTTAGTACCTTTGATCCTGCCTCATTTTCTGTCCTCCTAACATCAAGGGGAGGCAACTGAAAATGGCAATCTGAGCTTTGCCGGCACCTAAAAACCTGTATGAGTTCTGCTTCTTTGTTTTAACTAAAACTTGGTTTCCTTCAAAATACGGTTTCCCTGCACAACCATCTTGAGTGGAGGCTGCTCATCCTCCCATGCTCCACATAGGACCAGGAAGCAGAGAAACACCCCTAAATTTCTGCTGCTGCTGTCAGGCTACTTTAGTTCCACCTTCAATCAAACCTCAGCCCTCCCCTCTGAGGCTCAGGCCTGTCATTCACCTAAGCCACCCTCCTGACACCATCATCTATTACTTTCTGAGCACACCTTCACCATCTCTGAGGATTTTGGCACCTTGCTCATAATCCTCCCTCAACCCCATTTCCCGTTATCATCTGATGACAATAAGGATGACCTTGACCTCTTAACTCCAAAAAGCCTTCACTTCCTTTCCAAAGTCATCCAAACCAATGGCTATCCTTAATCCTCATCATTACCTAGAACTGCCTGCCCCACCTCTAAAATATTAAACTACAAGATCAGACACCTGACCATAATCCCTTATAATTATGTGTGCATGTTGAAGGAAAGCATAGAACTTTATTCACAATATGCCTATTTTCTAGGCCCCTCCAAGTTCGCCAACAAATAGTCAAGGCACAGTGAACTAGCCTTATCCATTAGTAATGAAGGGAACATTCTGAAAGCCAAGTTCTCATATGCCAGTCAACCTTGCAAGCAGGCTTTTCTAAAGAGAGCTGCTTTAGGCCTGCTACGTTAACACTTGTCTTCTAGAGTGGCACTTCCTAACTCTTCCCTGTAGTTACTGGCCTTACACTGCACTAGCTGAAAAATTCCAGTGCCATCTTCCTAATGTGACCATCTCCCAGATTCAGGTACCTAAACTGTATCTGTTCTCCTTTTCCAATGGCTTAATTTCAAAATTTTTTCCTTCCTCCTCATAAAAAGTTACCTGTTCTGAATACCAGTCTCTTTCTGAGCTCTGCTCTCTGATTTCAAAATTAACTACCATTTACCAAGTATATAATATGTGCCTAATAATTAGGTTATATGCTTTACATGTGTTTTTGTACTTGATCCTGAAAACTCTATGAGAAACATGATTTTATTAGCTTCCTTCTTTTAAAGGTGAGGAAACCAGAATGGCCTAGAGAGATTACCCAGCTGATAAGTCAAAAAACCACAAACCATCATATATCATACTCCATAGCCCATGTTCTTTTCTACCTCTATGCATTGTTTCCTAGAGCACAGGTAACTATACTATGTTGATTCTAATTATGTTATGTGACCCAGGTAACATATTTATATGTCAGCAGGGAATTATTAAACACTTTTCTTAACCTAAAAGAGAAACAATAATGTCAGAAATTTCCTATGCAGGGCAGAGTGGTTACTGAAAATCTGAGAAGTATTTGTCTATTTCTTTATACCCAGAAATGACTCTGTTTCCTTAAATATATACCTATGTTGTATTCTTTTCCTGATAGTGCTTATTGACCAAATCCTCATTTGAGTGGTTATTCAAATAAATTACCAGTGATACTAAGTTTAAAACTTATTTTCCAAACAAAAAAGTACACAAACTCCACGAGTATAATCTTCATTGGTTTTAGTTCTGTTTTTTAACTTTTAAGCAAAAATGGAAGTCAAGTAGTAGAAAATACCCATGCTATCAAAATGTTAAAATACAAGAGTGCCATGGTCACAAAAACCAAAGAAAGAACATGAGGAATGTCTACTAAAGGAAGCAGTAGAAGATTTCTGAGAAATTCTATAGAATAATATAGAAGCCTATACACTGGGTGGAGTCCTAAGTCTGAGGCATAAAATTATATAGAAAATATTCATATCTGAAAAAATTTAAAGCCAGTAGCTGACTTTATATAAAGCCCAAAAACAAAAAGGGGATTTAAAATAGCTTTACACAGACCCCCATTCCAGAAAAAGCCTTTTTTCTTTCATGGAAGCTGCCAACTTTTAATTTTTGCCTGCTTTAAAACAGATCAATACCAACATGTTAACCAGAAATTAGCAGAACTAGAAACACTAAAAAACAAAACAAAAAGACATCCATTCAATAAAAGTAAATTTAACAGTCACAAATAATCTAGTACTTACCTTTTAACCTGGAGGCATCACGCATATCCTTTACCACTTTTCCAAATTCTTCTACTTGTACTTCATCATCTTCTGCAAGAAAAATATTTTTTTATTATTATGTTCAAACATTTTTAATAGATCAGCCTCGCTAAGCAAAAGTCAGGATCCAATGCAGCAATCTCTAAAAAGGTAAATTATTTGATGTATTCATAAGAATCATATTTCCTTTTCATATTGTTGGCTCTCCAAAAGATTAATTTTATGGAATGAATAAACCTTAAGATTATAGGAGAAGGGCTGAGTTTTCAATTCCCATCAATCAGGAGAAACTGTGTAATCCATATTCCTAGGGAGAACACTAAGAGACAAACCTGTTTTAGTTTAACCTTTCAAATGTTTGAAGATAAAAATGCTCTACTAGATTAAAGATTTTTCCAATGCCAGATGGTTCTGCAATTTCTAACATGTTTACACCCATTTTGTACACAAGAACACACAGATACTAGAAAGCCAAAGTGACAAACACAGGGGACAGAGACAGCTTTGCTTTCCCAGTCAGGAACAGGGAAACTTAGTGCAAGGATTTAGAATTACTGTAGTTTATGATCATAGGATAGAATACAGGTGCTATAAAATGAGATATTGGGGAAGCATTTCTAAATTTGCCAAATGATAAATACCCTTTCTGTTTTTCAATGCCTTTTTGTAACCATCATAAAAATATTTTTTAGGGACGCCTGGATGGCTTAGTTGGCTAACTGTCTGCCTTCAGCCCAGGCCACGATCCCAGGGTCCTGGGATGGAGCACCACATCAGGCTCCGTGCTCAGCGGGGAGCCTGCTTCTCCCTCTGCCTGCCGCTCCCCCTGTTTTTCTCTCTCTCTCTCTCTTTCTCTGACAAACAAATAAATAAAATCTTTTTAAAATTATTTTTTAAAAACTTTAAATATACTTTAAAATATTAATGAGTCAATACAGAATACCATCAATAACCAAGAAGTAATTCTTCAATCTCACTAAGTATAGGAAATCTAAATCAGTTTTTTTTTCCTTTTTAACATAACATGGTCAAAAAAGTATATACTAGATCAGTAATTTTTAAGTTCTTCTTCATGTTTCTAAGTCTCTGTTGAGCTACTTAAGCAGTTCACTTGATCATTTCCCCCACTTTAATCAGAGAAACTCAACTCTTAGGATTTATATATTGACGTACTCTGTAAGATTTCATTTAGAAGAAAAGAATTCTCCTGCTTTAACAGCACCAAATATAAATACAAAACCAAAAATAACAAGGTTCAAAACTTTGCAAACCACTACATTAAAATAAGAATTAAATCTTTGTACTGAAGGTCCAATGTTACGAGAAAAAATGGTATGACAGATGGGGTACACAAAGTTTTCAATATCATGCATGTATTTGGATTTAGATGGTAGAATAACCTACATTTTACACACTGTGTTTTTGCTTTATAAGTATATAATAATAAATCAGATACAGTATATGGGGTTTTTATTATCACAATAAGTAATTTTAGAGATAGCTGAGTTATTTTTATAGCTCATAAAATGATACCTTACTGGTCTGATTAAAATAAATGCTACATAATATTTTCTCTGGTATGTGTTGCCTTCAAATTCCACTCACTCTATCAAGAGAAACTGAAGCTTTGCAATAAAAGAAAAGAGAGGGGGGAAAAAATCCCTACTATCAGGTGGTAAGTATCCTTCTATTTTGATCAACCCTCCTCATCTCAAATATCTCACTAAACAAAACAATCAACACACTTAAAGTCCAAAATTACCAGTGTCACTTAAACAGGAGCTTAACAACTGGGTGTTATGCACAAACAATGAATCATGGAACACTACATCTAAATCTAATGATGTAATGTATGGGGATTAACATAACAATAAAAAATTAAAAAAAAACCAGGAGCTTAACAGAGAAAAAGGGGTAAGTAATCCTCACAGGGAAAGACAGTTCTTTGACAAAGACCCCAGACGCATGCTTATGTTACTAGGCTAGTTTGGCATAAACATTCCATATACAAGAGTACAATAATACATTTGTAACTTCATGAGGGAGTGGAAATGTTCACCTGTGGTTGCATACTACCTCTCTCCTGCCTACAGAACATCAGCAGTAAATGATAGTCTTATTTTTAAAATTTTAGTCTATAGTCTTTGTTTTACAGTACTTTTGTGAACTTACTTTTTGTTTTGAATCTTTTTTTTACTTGCGAACTAAGTAGAAGTGGTAGCCACCATCAGGTGTGTTTTTCTAGCAAATTAAATGAAAACCTATTTCAACAAAACAGTATGGACATCCCAAATAGTGTTAAAAAAAAAAAAAAAGGAATAGATCTCTTAATATTTCCTAACAATCCCTTCTGTGTTCACTGGGATGTGCCATTTTCCAGTAACATGTAACACAACCTGAAGATAGTCAATGCATATTCAATCAATTTAGAGTAATAATAAATTAGATATTAACATTTTTTTTCTGTAGGACAAACAATCTGAGCTTTCTTTATATTTCCTAATTGTATATATTGGCATATCAACCAAATACAAGATACAAGGAAAAATAAAGATTGATAGAAGATAGAACCATATGCTTGTAAATCTTTTAATTTTAATATTTAGAGTACTTACCATCAATTATTGCTAATTTCAGTGCATCTAGGAATTCTTTTTTTTTCAAGTTATTATTCTTCCTGGACAGAGTGTTCCACAGGTAAGAAGCATTCATCTTTTCTTTGCTGAGATTGTGGAGGTTTTCAATAGTCTCAGGCAATACTGAAGGGTAGATAACACACAAGTTTTACAACATTCTTGTCCAAGAAGTTAGTACAGTAAACTATTATCTGGACTAGTCAGGAATTAAGGTTTTTATGGTTAAGAAGAGTAACAAATACAGCATAAATGGTTGCCAATTTTCTTTCTTTTTTTTAAAGATTTTATTTTTATGTAATCTCTATACCCAATGTGGGCCTCGAACTCACAACCCCAGGATCAAGAGTCCCACGCTCTACCAACTGAGGCAACCAGGTGCCCCTGCCAATTTTCAAATATTAAAATACAATAAAATATTTAACACCAAAATTAGTGTGTCTTTGAGGATTCTGAAACATTTCTAGAACTTATGGTAACCCCACCCCTGAATAACCACTATAGAGTAATTTGCACTGAACTATATAGATTTATAGAAGTCTGAATTCATAAACAAGTCCAATTGATAAAAACATGAATTAAATAGCTTTTGCTCTACATCTCCCTCCCAAAATTCTTCCCTGGATCTTACTTTCTCTTCAATCTACCACTGCAGACCATGGGAAGAAATTTTGTTTTTTAAAAAATTCCAATAGAATTTAATGGAAGGTTTAATGTGTGTGTGTGGGGGGGGGTGAAATTATCTCATCACAAATGCGTAAAAGATCACTGTGCTGCTGTATAGAGAATGGACTCTCTGGAAGATCAGGCAGTTAGGAAGGTACTGTAGTAGTTCAGAGAAAAAGATGACAGTGGCTTCAAATAGTGGTAATAGTGATAAAGATAATGAGAAGTGGTAATAGTGATAAAGATAATAGTGATAAAGATAATAGTGATAAAGATAATGAGAAGTGGACAAATAAAGAATGTGTTTTGAGAATGAAGCTGAGAATATTTTTTTTAAGATTTTATTTTTAAGTAATCTCTACATCCAATGTGGGGCTCAAACTTACAACCCAGAGATCAAGCATTGCACGCTCTACCAACTGAACCAGCCAGGTGCGCCAAAGCTGAGAGTATTTAGTGATGAATTGAATGAGAGCCTGGGGCCATGAAGAGCTGCTAGGTTCAATAACTGAGCAACTGGGTGGATAGTAGTGTCAAAAACTGAGGTAACAGAGACTAGGGAAAGAATAAGATTGTTGGAGAGCAAGAATTCCTTTTTATACATATTAAGTATGAGATAAATGGGGAGTCAAAAGGATAGAGATATTATTTAAAGTAGTAAGATTATTCAGGAAGAGGCTTAAAGAATGAGGCTCAGAATGGATTTTGGGATCACGCTAACATTTAAAAGTCAGCCATAAAGGAAGCAGCCAGCAAACAAGACCAAAAAAGATGAGTGATTTTTACAATAGAATATTATTCAGCTACAAGAAAGAAGGAAATCTTCACATTAGTGACAACATGGATGGACCTTAAGGGCACTATGCTTAGTAAGATAAAGCAGACAGAGAAAGACAAACACTGTAAGGTCTCACATCTAAAAAGCAGAACTCCAAAAAATTAATTAATTAGTTAATTAATTACATTTTTAAAAAGCAGAGTTCAGAAACAGAGTAGGATACTGGTTACCAGGGGCTGAGGGGTAGGGAAACTGGGACTATGTTGGTCAAAGGGTATGAACTTATAATTAGAAGATGAAAAAGTTCTGGGGATCTAATGCACAGCACTGTGATTATAATTAACAATACTGTATTATATACTTGAAAGTTGCTAAGAGACTAAATCTTAGTGTTCTCACCACAAAAAAGGAAATGATAATTACTTTATAATTACATGATGTGATGAAGGTGTTAGTTAACACTATAGTGGTGATCATATTGCAATATATGTGTATCAAATCAGCACTTTGTACAGCTAAATTTACACAATATGTCAATTAAATCTCAATTTTTTAAAAAAAGAAAGAGCCAATAAGATGGAAGAAAAATTAGGAGATTACAGTGTCAGAGAAAACACAAGAAGAAAAAAAAATTTTTTTTCAGATTTTATTTATTTATTTGACAGAGAGAAATATAGCGAGAGAGGGAACACAAGCAGGGGGAGTGGGAGAGGGAGAAGCAGGCTTCCTGCCGAGTAGGGAGTCTGATGTGGGGCTCGATCCCAGGACCCCGGGATCATGACCTGAGCCGAAGGCAGCCGCTTAACAACTGAGCCACCCAGGTGCCCACAAGAAGAGAAAATTTTGAATAAACATATTAAATTAAAACATAAGAATGGTTGAATCATTATGCTGTACACCTGAAACTAACATAACACTGTATGTAAATGATACTTGAAGTAAAAAAACTGCTGGAGGTAAACAAGATGAAAACAAAAACTTGATGATTAGATTTAACAAAATGAGATTTAACTTTTGTAAAAAAAGCTAGTATGGGCGGCAAGGTCAAAACCTGAATGAGTGTTTTTAGAGAACTGGCAATATAGTATTCTGATGATAGCCACATTCTCCTTCAATTTCCAACACAAAACATATTCTATACTAAGTTAAAATATCACTAAAAATAATATTTGGAAATGAACTGAATGAGGGAAGGGGTTAGTGGAGCTAGGGCCACAAGGGAAAAAAGATCAAGAATGACTCCTAACTTTGGGGGCTAAACAACTGAATGCTAAGCTCAATAGAAAGGGAAATCATCAGATATGAGGAAGAAATATGATTTATGTGTGTGCCTAAGCTGATGCCATAGCAGTCAGATGGTATAATGTAGAAGTTAAGAGCCTAAGCTCCACCTGAGTTCTAATCTTAACTCTACCACAGACTAGGTATATGACTTTTTTAACCTCTATGTCGTGGTTTTCTCATCCATAAAATAAACATAATATTACAGTTGATATGAGAATTAAATGAGTTAATAAAAAGTATTTAGAACAGTATTGGCACATAGAAAGCACTCAATAAATGTGAGTACTAGTAGTAATTACTGTTATTATGTGGTACAGACAAGTCTAGAATTATAATTGAGATGCCTACTCAAAACCAGGATGCTGAAAAGTCTTCCCATCTAAAAATTATGACTAAAAACACTTTGGTCACCTTTTTAGGAATTCAAGAAGAAAGCTGTTTTCTGCCTGAGGTATGAATGCAGGGAATAAATCTCCAATGATAACCTAAATCCCAAGGCTATCATGTGTGAGTGTTGGGTTCCAAATCAAATTATTTATTTAATATAAAAATTCTAAACAAAGAATTAACATAAAACTGTCATAGCTAATTATCCTTATGGAAAAAAATTAAATTGGATCTCAATTTCACTCCATACTTAAAAATCAATTTCAGGTGAATTGAAGACTTAAATATGAAAAAGAAAAACTTAAAAATTTTTAGAAGAAAATACTTGGAAATATCTTAATGTCCTCAAAATAGAGACAGGCTTCTATTTTCCCTATAAAGGCAAAGTTATCTGCTAAATGTGAGAAGGGTAGAGGTTGGGGGTAGGAATGGAAGTTCGAGAGAATGGAGATTTTAAATAGTTATTTCAGAGAGTGAAAAAATAAGCTAACTGGGGAGGAACAATCCCATAATTCCTAGGCAGTGTCAAAGGCCATCAGACATTGATGATCAAGACCTTATAGCGGCATTCTATTCAATCTGCTCAGCTGTATAATTTTCTCTAGAAATGCTGTCAGCCACAGGAGAAAGCAGGGTTGGGAGTTTTGTTAGCTAGGTGCAACCAAGGGGCAAGAAAGCTTAGGGTATTTGAGACACACAGACCAGAGATTTTAAACTGACTAAGAAAGAAAAGTGAAAACAGGAAGAGACTGGTGGGTAAGGAAAAAGTAGAGGGGTAGATGGATGGAAGGTCCCAAGGAGGTATACAAAACCAATAAGCAGTCTGATGAAGATATGAGCAGTCAAATGAAGAAAAAAGGAAAAGCATTAAACATAAATGTGCAATATTAAAAATGAGAAAGGAAATATAACTACAGATACAAATAAGATACTATACTATACAACTCTGTGCTAATAAAATTTTTTATCTCCATGAAACTGAAATTCCTCGGAAAAATGAAGTAACTAACAATGCAAATAATCTCTTCATCCAATTAATCTATTGTTTCCTTGTATAAAAACAAATTAAATGGATTTATAAGGTAAAATAACTTACTTAAAATGTGCTATTACTCAATACTAAGCACAAAATAACAAAATGCTACTTTTAACCCCAATTTTTTTTAAGTAGCTCCACGCCCAGCATGGAACCCAGTGTGGGACTTGAACTCATGACCCTGAGATCAAGACCTAAGCTGAGATCAAGAGACACATGCTTGGGGCGCCTGGGTGGCTCAGTTGTTTAAGCGACTGCCTTCGGCTCAGGTCATGATCCTGGAGTCAGTCCCTGGATCGAGTCCCGCATCGAGTCCCGCATCGAGTCCCACATCGAGTCCCGCATCAGGCTCCCTGCTCGGCAGGGAGTCTGCTTCTCCCTCTGACCCTCCCCCCTCATGTGCTCTCTCTCTCATTCTCTCT